GTTGTACCATTTTACATTCCCACCAACAGTGTATAAGTGTTCCAGTCTCTCCACAACCTCTCCAGCATTTATTATTTTGTGTTTTTTTGGATTAATGCTAGCCTTGTTGGGGTGAGATGATAACTCATTGTAGTTTTGATTTGCATTTCTCTAATGGCTAATGATCGTGAGCATTTCTTCATGTGTCTGTTAGCCACCTGAATATCTTTTAACAGTATATTTTATTTAACCCAATGAAGTCAAAATATTATTTAAACTGTATATAAAAAATAATGAGATATTTTACTTTTTGTTTCTTATAGTCTTTTAAATCTGGTGTCTATTTTACCCTTATAGCACATCTCAATTAGTACTAGCCACATATCAAGCGCTCAAAAGCCATATGTGGCTAGTGGCACCCCTAGTGGTCAGCACTGACTTACAGGGCTCCAAGGTATCACACATTTTAACTGGGCTGATAAAGATTAATGTGATTTTCCCAGTCTTACAAAGGGGAAACACTGAGGCATAGAGAAGAGCCCTGATTTAGCCAGAACAATGGAGTGAATAAATTCAGCATAGAGGATTGGACTAGCTTAGAGGACAATTGGGTAAATGCATTTTAAAGGGAAACAGTAGGAGGCAGAAGCATGGGAAATTCTGGGTAGCAGTTTGGCCTTCTGGACATTTGCCTAGTTTGTCTTCTATTGGTTACCTGACCCTGCAGGGGTAGAAATAAGACAAGTTGTCCCACTTTCAAGCTAATGTGTATGAAAAGTAATACACTTTAGATGTTAAGAGGATGGACTAGTCATTTGGCCTTGGTGAAGTAATTTAAAATCTGTTTCTCAGTTTCATCATCTGTAAAATGGGAATAATCACAGACATACCTCATACGGTTGTTTTGAGGACTAAATAAATACAGTAAAACCTTGCCAGAAAGGATAATTGTGATCTAAAAACTTTAATTGTATAAAATGCGGGTACATTATTGTACTGGACCTGATGTCCAGTTACAGAGATCAAATCCATCTGGTACCATCTGTGATTTGGCGCCATTTGGTGGTGGTTTTTCTCTCTGGCTTAAATATTATTGAGGATAATTCCAGATCCTGGGGCTGGCTGGGACTTCTAAAACAGAGGCATCTCCTAGTTTGTTGGTGACCCTTCTGTCAACCTGAACTAGTCAGATAGGGCCAGGAGACTAGTGGGAACACAGGTACCCAGCTACCTCCTCCAGCTTTCTAAGAAGTTGCCTCCTCTTTCCAGCCAGTTCCACTCATCCCTCACCCCCAAAGTAATAACACCAAGGAATGCCAAGGAATGCCAAAGAACTCCAGAGGCCACTGACAAGGAAGGACCTCCCTCTAGAGCTACGTTCTAAGTTTGGACTTCTAGCCTTCTGAACTATGAGAAAATAAATTCCTGTTCTTTAAAGCCACCCAATTGTGTTATTTTTTGTTACAGCAGCACCAGGTAACTAAGACATCCTTGATTTATGGAATCAACCAGCCTTGAAATCTGCCCTACGTCTGAACTTCTGTCATATTAGATAATAAATTCTTTTATTTATTTCCCTAAGTCAGTCTGAAGTGAGAGTTTCTGTTATTTGTATCCAAAGACATTTAAACAGATAACATGTGCTAAGCACTTAAATATATTATCTTTTATCCTCATAATAACCCTATGTGATAAATACCATTTTTATCATATTTTCTAAGTGAGGAAACTGAAACTTAGATTAAATAACTTGCTTAAAGTCACAAGAGTAGTAGAACCGTAATTTCGAAACAATGAATTCAGAGACCATGCTCATAATCATTGCATATCCTGCTTTCCATAATCCAAAATAACGTTTCATTTTTATATTAGGTGACTTAAGAGTAGTAAATGTACTTTCCTAATTTTAATTGCCTTTAATTAATAAAAAAAGAAAAAGAAAAACAGATGCATCTTAGGTAACAGAGGAAAGTCAATCTATGATTTTAAATGTTTAACAAATAATCCACAAAACAGATAACTGAGGCAATTTAATATATGCAGTTACATCTTCCACAACAGTTAAGTGCTCAGCTGCTAACCGAAAGGTTGGTGGTTCAAACCCACCCAGCAGCTCCATGAGAGAAAGACCTGGCAGTCTGCTTCCGTAAAGATTATAGCCTAGAAAACCTTATGAGGCAGTTCTACTTTGTCACATGGAGTCACTGTCAGTCAAAATCTACTTGATGGCACCTAACAACAGCAACAGTTACAAACCAAAAAACCAAACCTCTTGCTGTCAAGTCGATTCAGACTCATAGCAACCCTATAGTACAGAGTAGAACTGCTCCATGGGGTTTCCAAAGAGCAGCTGGTGGATTCAAACTGCTGACCTTTTGGTAGCAGCCAAACTCTTAACCACTACACCACCAGGGCTCCAACTGAAAGCAAAGGGAAGAGAAATACAAAATTGGTCTAACTTTATCACATTACTAATGAATATGTGGGGAGGGAGGAAGGCACTTTTAATTTCTAAGATGCCTAAGCTAGAAAAGGTACAAAAGTCTGATCGTGTTCCAGTCTTGGTTCTACCATTTACTAGCTGTGTCACTTTAAGCAAATTACTTCTGTGTTTTTAGTTTTCTCATCTGTAAAACACGGGTAGTAATAGTACTTATACCTCATAGGATTGTAGTTATGATCAAATGAGATAAAATACATATAAGTTACCTAAAACAGTACCTGACACAAGGTAAATATCCAATTAGTATTACAAAAACCAAACCCATTGTCACTGAGTTGATTCTGACTCTTAGAGTAGAACTTCCTCATAGGGTTTCCAAGGAGCAGCTGGTGGATTTGAACTGCCAACCTTTCAGTTAGCAGCCAAATTCTTAACCACTATGCCACCAGTGCTCCCAATTAGGATTAGATATGGTATTATCATCATCATCATTTGAAGGAAGAGATACTATTTTTAAAAAGAGTACATAAATTATCCTTCCCATCCTAGAAAGGAAAAAAGTCAAGACACTGTTATCATAAAGGGACTCTGTATTAATAAGATAAAGTAATGGAGGCAGGAGACAAGTGAGAAGAAAAAAGGGGCACTGAGGGAAGAAGGGACTAAATCTTAAACCAAAATTAAAGCTCAAATTTTATTTTAGAATATCGCTAAAATTCCATAAATCTTGTATTAAACATTTCTAGATACCAAAGGCACAAAGTGAAAGCAACAAAACAACAACAAATACATAAGCACACGGAAAAAATTAGAGACTGGGACATATGGTGCATGTAATGCAAAAGATTGACAGAGAGTAAACAGGAAGAACAGAGACATAGGCAGGAAGGAAAAGAAGAATTCATGTGCTGTTCCCCAGTAATTTACAAGACTTCTCAATAAGCCAGTTCTCCCATCCCCCCCTCCTTCCTTCCAACTCCAAAAAACTTACATTGAAAGATGCCAGGGCCTCAGAGACACTCTTCTCAATGAACTCATCAGTGATTCTCCGGGAAGGATGTTCATTAAACACAGAGTTCATTAGTGCAATCTTTGCAGCACTCCGCCGGGCCTCAGCTTTTGTGGGGCAAAACTAGGCAGGGGAGATAGAAAGAATATGTGTCTATGTGTGTCTGAGAGAAAGGAAGGAGCAGTGGGAAGGGAACATTTGGAATAGAAGACACTCGGACTCTCTTTGGATAAATCAGTTGTGTTCAACACACTGTCCAAAATTTTGCTTGTAAAACGGCTGGGGTGTGTGGAAATACAATTCTGACTCAACATCCTGAAGTCATTAAGGAGCTGGAGACTGCTGTACCCTATACCAAATTGAATGCAGAATAAGGAAGCCTGCTGAAGTCAGCAAATAATCAGCAGACATGAAAAACACTCCTGTTTAAATTGTCAACAGAATTAATTACTCAAAAGCCAGATTCTAGCCATCCTGTAAGAAATCTGTATCTTGTTCTCTTGTTGTATGGACAGGCAAGGTTTTCTTGGATCCCTCTAGACAACCCAAATTAGAACAAAGCCATGCCGAGACTGCTTCTGCAGAAGAGGCCTCTAGTCTCTGTGGGAGGCACTCAGTCTGGGATTCTTGGACTTCACTTTTAGCTGTGAGCAGGCATTTCCTCAATAATGTAGTAAGCCAAAGGAGCTATCCCTGAACAGGTTCTAAGGTCTAAAGAAGGAATTTATAGTCTTATATTTTTGAGTGGAAGCAAGGAGGAAAGGGTGGCTGGGGAAGAAAAGCTGACCCAGGGAAAGCAAGAAAAAAATTAAAAATTAGTTCATGTTTTTACATTGTATCCAACACAGGGATCACAGAACAGTCTGATTTTGAGAAGTTTTAAATCACTAGGCACCATAAACCCACTGCCATTGAGTCAATTCTGACTCATAGCAACCTTGTAAGACAGAGTAGAACTGCCCCATAGGGTTTCCAAGGCTGTAAATCTTTATGGAAGCAGACTGCCACATCTTTCTCCTGCAGAGCAGCCGATGGGTTTGAACCACCGACCTTTTGGTTGCTTTAACCACTGCACCACCAGGGCTCCTTTAGGCACCACAGTATTCCTTTATATTTCATCTTCACTGGCTGCCTCAAAGGCCTCTGTGTCCTTTTGTCATTTATGATTAGGATTAGAGGAAAGGAAGAAAGTGATGTTACAGTTTAAAGAAGTAGACTGGGATATGTTCACTAGTTAACTATTCTTAATATCAATAATTCCCCGTTTCCTTTAGTTGATAACTCTCTCTGAGACAGGAACATATACAGCTTGGTACATTGTCCCTAAGTTTTCTTGCTTCTTCAATTTCTGTTTGTACTTCTCTCTCTATTCATTAGCCTGCTACCTAGTCTACTATAATAGTACTATTTTTGAAAAGATCATTTGTGAAGAATACCACCAGAAGGAATTTCATCTGCCAAAGTGGATATAAAAGGTATAAGCTAAAAGAAGCCAAGATAAGATAATTCCACTCTTTCAGAAAACAACAGAAAATCAATTACTACACTTGTCTAATTATGGGCATCACCGTAAAATTTTCAAATCCTTATGCAACATGAAGAGGTGAGAGGAGGAAGGAAAGAACTTATTCTCTGAGAAGGGAAAGCATAAACATAGTCATTCTGGGCATATATTTATTTCTCTGAAATGGCTGGGATTCTCAGGGAAAAATTTAGTCACCTGATTTGAAATGAAGATTTCTTAGGATTGTTTCTGTTTGAGGCAGGAACTGAGCTGCAATGGGGTTCATTTACACCATAGATAAATTAAGTGCTTATTATGTGCTGAGCATAAATTGGGCAGTAGGGATTTAACACTGAGCAAGAAAGAAGACAGGCATAATCTGTCCCTATGGAGCATACTCTGCTAAGAGAGAGAATCAATTACAATATGTTATGATAAGTGATAGGACAGGGGAAGCTCAAGGTACTATGGAAACACATAGTAGGAGGCCTAATCTTGTCTAAGGGTTGGTTATACAAACCATATGGAAAATAGAACAAAGGTATCTGTTTTCTTCTCTAAATTCCTGTTCAGACCCTAGGTTGACAATTCAGAAGGCTACCTTCCTGTCAGCAATGTATAAAATCCATCTTTGATGATAATAGCCACACTAGTCAAATTTCTCACTACTCCATATTAGCAATGACTTTTTTCATCGTCATATATTACAGGTCTCTCATATAATTGTACAATTAAGTACTAGAAAAGGCTTTAGAAATAATCTAGCCTATCTCCTTCATGTTATAGATAGGGAAACTGAGGCCCAGAGAAGTTACCTGAATTGCCCGGCTGGCAGGACAATGAGGATTTGGATCTCCTAACTTTTAGATGAGTACTATTTCCACCATACATAGTCCCTCCCCTTTGATCTCTTAGAGAACTCAAACACTGCTTTCTTTATTAATTGCCTATGGAAAAGGAGTAGGGGTAAAGGATATTATTCTAAATCCTCAAAAAGAGATGACAGGAGGTTGGAATGCAATAATAGAAGCTAGCTCAGAACAAGGGTTGGGGCTAGTGGTCTGATACATATTTAGTAAAGGCATAGTCATAACTGCTCAGAGTCAAAATGGGTTTGAGTTTTTGCAGCCTCTAAGAAAACCATGCTACTGAGGTTCTTTTGTGGTCAAATGAGCCTCAGATGCTTGCCAGAATGATTTGCCCAGAACTGGTCAGGTCCTTATACATCTGATTTCAGAAAAAGATTTAACGGCCAAAGTAATGGAGAAAGCCATTACTAGCATCTAAGCATTTATCTTTGCTACTGTCGCTAGTCAACTCTTACCTGGAAACTCCCAAAGCAACTTCCCCCAGGCAGGGTGACATAGCAGACATATGGAGGGCTGTTGGAGGGTACCATCTCATAAACCACTAGAGCCCCATTCTTCAAGTCAGCCCCACGGGACTGCTTCATCTGCCAGAATTCCTGAAGTGCCTCAACCACATTCACTACAAAAAGAGAAGTAGTTAAGTAGACCAATGAAAACACCTCAAAGTGGTGCTGTACTTCAATAAGTACCCGTGCCTACATTAATAGTCTATCCCTTAGCTCCCCATCTATCACTGTTTAAAAGCATTTAAGTTAATAAACCTAGACTGTGAGTAAATCCATTTGTATAGGAAAAGAATACCAGAGTCCTCCCACACCTCCCTAATTCTCATTTTGATTAGTCCTAGACACCAAAGGAGAGTAACTTAAATATTGGAGGCAGAGCTTCCAAGGTCAGCAGACCATTGTCACTGCCTGATGAAATACAAGTAGATTATCCTACAATCAGTCAGCAGACCTAGAATAATAACAGCCAATACAATAATTAGTGCTAACATTTAGTAAGCACTTACTAGATGTCAGGCATTTCTCTAAGTGCTTTACCCACTTAATTTATATTATTCCCATTTTACAGATGAGGGAACTGAAGCATAGAGAGGTTAAATAACTTGGCCGTGGTTATAACAGCTAGAATGCAACAAAACTAGAATTCAAATGCAGGAGTCTTGGTTCCAGAGTCAATGTTCTTAGGCATTATGCAATATTCCCTCGCAAGGAAATATGGCTCTATTAGCCATTTTCCAGCCTATGCTTCCTGGGAGCAAACCCATGGTCAGATCCCTTTTTCATCCTGGTCACCACCCTCATATACTATGAGAAAAAGCTTCTCTTCTGAAATGTCTATACTGAGTATAAATGATGTTTAAAGGAATTGTCTGTTGGGAGACACTCCTCCATTGTTCTCTTGTGCTCCTTCACATCTTGCTGGGTATGTCAGAATACAAGACCCTGACTTCTCTTTACCTGGGCCACTTCTTGAAGTTGTGTTTGCAGCAAGAAACTTTAAGGGATGAAGTAATGTTTCCCTCTGCTTGCTATAAAATGGCAGATTCCTCAAGCTCAGTGTTCCTCTCCTGTAACACAATGCATGGCATGTGAAGGAATTCATCTGAGCCCTCCACGTTGGACTTGAGGCCAGGAGAACCAATGCAAACAATCATGATGCTCATGCTACTTGCATTGCTATGAGTAATAAAGTCCTTTGTCTGTGACCCAGAAGTCTTGTGACTTCTGCCAGCATCCATGAAACAGTAACCAGCTAACTTATTAGTTGTAAGTAGGGTAAAATCAAACTCTAGACCTGACACTGTATTCCAGAACAATTCCTCCCATCCCCTAATAGTTGGGCTCAATCATTCCACAAATATGTATTGAGCACCTCCTCTGTGGTAGACTCTGTGTTGGACACTAGACTACAATAGTGATCAAAACCACTTGCCTTATGTAGTTTACAATCTAAAGAGGAAGAGAGATGTTACTAAATAATCTCAAACAAATTAAAATTGTAACTGTGGCAAGTGCTATAAAGGAGTGGTAGATGGTGAGAAATGTTCTGGGAGGAAAGGCCAAAGAAAGCTATCCTGAGGAAGTGATGTTTAAGCTCAGATATGAAGGATAAGTAGGAATTCACAACGCAAAAAGGTGGGAGAATAGTTGTCTGAGCAGAAGGAAGACCACGTTGCAAAGGCTCTGTGGTAGCAAGGAACATGGTGAGTAAAGGAACTAAAAGAAAGCCAGTGTGGCTAGAATAGAGAGTAGAGAGTGAAGGGAAGTGTAATATAAGATGAGGTTGCAAAAGGAGGCAGGGACCAGCCCATGCAGGGCCTTGTAGACCATGTTAGGGAATGTTGGCTTTATCCTAAGAGCAGTGGCAATGGAGGGTTTTAAATGGAAGGAGAGAGGAGATTGGTTTGCCTTTGGAAATGATCACCTTGGTTTCCAAACATTTCAAATGGTTTTAACTAAAGCCTCATAATAATAAATTATCACACAAGCTCCCTAATATCTTGCAACATGGCTATTCTCCTACTCTTAATCACAACAAACCCAAACCAAACCCCTTGCCATCGACTGCGACTCACAGCGACCATATAGGACAGAGTATAACTGCCCCATAGAGTTTCCAAGGCTGTAATCGTTACAGAAGCACACTGCCACATCTTTCTCCTGAGGAACAGCAGGTGGGTTTGAACTGGTTAGCTGCTGAGCGCTTAACCACTGCACCACCAAACCAAAAACCAAACCTGTTGCTGTCAAGTCGATTCTGAACTCACACCAACCCTACAGGACTGGGTAGAACTGCCCCACAGGGTTTCCAAGGAGCAGCTGGTGGATTTGAACTGCCAACCTTTTAGTTAGCAGCCAAGCTCTTAACCACTGCACCACTAGGGCTCCTGTAATCACAACAAGGACTCATGTATTCATTCTTTCATATTGCATTACTTCAGGTCTGCCAAGAAGAAACCAAGATGGGATAGACATGCAAGAGATGTATTGGGGAGGGAGTACGAGAAGTCAGGAAGAACCTTCAAACTAGACGAAGGTCTGACACCTTTGGAAAAAGAGAGGGGAAGGAAGAGGATTGGGTAGGAGAGTCTCAGACTGCAGTATAGCTCCAAGAAAGTTTTGGCCAGGCTGGTAGGAAGTCCTCAAGCCAAAGCAGTTCCACATCTCAGCAGAATGTGCCTGCCATAGTACTCGCACTGTCATGGTCTGAATTATGTCCCCCCAAAAATGTGTATATCAATTTGTCTGGGCCATGATTCCCAGAATTGTGTGGTTGGCTTCCATTTTGTGATTGTAATTTTATGTTAAAGAGGATTGCGGTGGGATTGTAAAATCACCCTTACCCAGGTCATATCATTGATCCAATGTAAAGGGAGTTTCCCTAGGGTGTGGGCTGCACCACCTTTTACCTTACAAGAGATAAAAGGAAAGGGAAGCAAGCAGAGAATTGGGGACCTCATACCACCAAGAAAGCAGTGCCTGGAGCATAGTATGTCCTTTGGACCCGGGGTCCATACGCAGAGAAGCTCCTAGTCCGGGGGAACACTGATGAGAAGAAGGCCGACAAAGAAAGAAAGCCTTCCCCTGGAGCTGATGCCCTGAATTTGGACTTTTAGCCTACTTTACTGTGAGGAAATAAACGTCTATTTGTTAAAGCCATCCACTTGTGATATTTCTGTTGGAGCCGCACTAGGTGACTAAGACACCCACTATGTTCATTTATTGGCTGCCTGCAGACTTCAGGGAGCACGGCCTCAGTGCAAATGTGGTGCTGGATCCTGAGGGGGCAGCAGCTGGGGCTGTCAGTCAGTTATGCTACCCGCAGGAGGAGGTCAAAGCAGCACATTTTCATGGTTGCCACATACATGAAGCAAGAATTTGAGCACTTAATAGGTGCATGGGTCTCTGCTAGGCATTCAAAAAACAAAAAACCCAGTGCCCTTGAGTTGATTCCGACTGACAGTGACCCTGTAAGACAGAGTAGAACTGCCCTATAGGGTTTCCAAGACTATAATCTTTATGGAAACAGACTGCCACATCTTTCTCCCACTGAGTGGCTAGTGGATTGAAACTGCCAACATTTTGGTTAGCAGCCCAGCGCTTGTAACCACTGCACCACCAGAGCTCCTTCTGCTAGGCATTAGGGATACAAACATGAGTAATACACATTCCTTGCCAAAAAGGTGTTCAAAACCGAGTGGACAACAATAAAAGTTAATCTCACTTGGTCTGCAACTAAAGTAAGCTCCCTACATACTAGCCAGAGTTTGAAAAGCAGCAGAAGCTGTTTTCTAATACCCTATATTTAACTGACTTTTTAGAATGATCATTCTTCCATTAAAAGCCACCATGAAAAGGAAACTCTCTTTCCCACCCCTAGTTTTGGCAGGGGCTCTTCAAAGGTCACTGCTGCCCAGAAACCTTAGCCATCTTTGTTCTTTCCCTTGAGATCTTTTAAGCCAGCTCTGTCTTTGAGACAATTTTGTACAATGCACTGAGTGACAGCTCTCCTGACATGCAAACAACAGGGAGAATACTGGAATAAAAAGGAAGGGGAGGAGATCATTATAATAGAGAAGGTTCTATTAAAAAGCATGTGTCCATTCTATGTCCAGTTAAATCCCTCCTGGCACAGAGTATAGGGATCAAAGCCAAAGGAAATGGGAAGTCTTATTTCAGAAATGTGAGTATGAAATGGAAAATTGGGCACAGTGATCAGGAAAAAAACAATTCGTTGTGATCTGCGTTTGAAAATGCTCATAGACTCATTCATTTTTAGAGCTGGAGAGGACTTTGGAGATCAACTAGTCCAACTCAGGCTAAGGAAGGGTAGATGACTTGCTCAAGGTCACACAGCTGAGGCAGAGCTGGGGCATGAATCTAGATATCCTGATGCCAATGTTCTTTCCTATTTAGGAATCTTGAAACCTAGGGTCCAAGGTCCAGTCCATGGCTGAACTTCATGGGGGTCTAAAACTATAAGTAAAATCGTGTGTGCCTTTTGAGTATTTCCGTATGTAGGGAAGGATGCCATAGTTTTTATCAGATTATACCAGTGTGAAATCATTGGTATAATGGTTTACACAGGATGGTTAAAGAACAGTGAGATGGAAGGGTGGAAATGACTGAGCATACACATCTGACAGCTATACTTGGTATCTGGAAGTCACTGACAGGTGCTGGGCTGAAAGGGACAAGCAAATAGTCAGAAATATTTAACTGCTTGTACCATGGTGTTGAACAACAACAAAAATAGAATAATTTGGTTTTCGTCCTTAAGAGAGAAAATACTAGAAAGCTGTCTAAGTGGAAGAGGGACAGATCGTATATCCATTAGAGTAAAAGTATTAAAACAACACATGAACCTACAGTAAACATTTTACAACCTAAGAATAAATATAATTTTGTGGTGGGGAAGTATGGATAATTATGTAAAAAGTAGATAATGAAACTGAGCAGTAAGTGAGAAGGTTCTCCCTGATCACATCTGGATCACAATAGGTTGGCCTGGCTTAATTCACATTATTATGGAGGATAGGGAGGTTAGTTAACAATATTTCATCTGACACTTCAATTTTTAGAAGGTACCACTGAATTGCCCAAATATTCTACA